AACCATAACGATTCTATGATTCTACGATCTGCAGGCACTCAGCACAGCCCAGCACCGCTCTCACACTGGTGTCTGTCTTGTGTGTTACAGCTCGAGCTAGAGTGCATTAACCCCAAAAAGCAAAAGAAGAAAAAGAATTACAAGAACTCTGGGATCATCATTGTCAAGTCCTGCAAAGTGAGTATGACACCAGGATGTTTCCTTCTGCTCTTGGCTGAGCTGAGGTCTTCCCGAGCTCCCCCCATCCTTCTACCTCCAACGCCTTTGCATCTCCAATCACAGAGCATGAATAAAAGTGTGATTTCCTTTCTGCTTGGGTTTCCTCTCCCCTTGGAGCATCTGATGTACCCTGTTGCTGGTGCCACCCCGCGCTGGGGTGGCCACAGACTCAGGCAAAGGTGTTCAACATGGGCGACGTCTGCATGAAGCCCAAGCTGTGGGTGCCTACCAACTGCTTGGTGTCTCCTTGGGGGCAAGGGCTGGGTAGAGGTGGGAGAGGTCCTTCTTCTGAGCTGAGGTGTTGGTGAAGTCCTCTCTTCGTATGGCAGCAGCACAGCGGGGAAAGTGCCAACACAGCTCTTCCCACACCAGAGCTGCAGGTGGAGTGAGACCGTTTTGGCCATGGGGAGAGGATCTTCCATTCAGTTCACCATGATGGACACTTCCAGCCCTCAGGGATCCCTCTCCAGGCCTCCCTGCTTGGCCCCACGTGTCTCATGAAGTGCCAAAACGCTGCCGTGGGAGACGCAAGTGATTCTTCCCATTGCTTTACCACATGGCTGAAGGTCTCTGAAAGCCCAAACTCACAGCGACCACAGGCTTGGGAACCTTCCCTGTATTTATTTTTTTTGTTCTGCAATGGTGAAGATTGATGAAACCCTTTTTTGTTTGTTTTTTGTTCTTTCAGATAACCAGAGATTTCTCCTTCCTTGACTACATCCTGGGAGGCTGCCAGCTGATGTTTACTGTAAGGACTTTTGCTCCTCTTTGCCAGTAACAGTAACACGTATGTAATGGTCAAAACTGGGGAGGGATGTTCTGCGTGAGATTTGGCACCAGCTTGGGTGGCTTTTCATGGCAATGAGGAGCTGCCCCGTTTTGCTCTTAAATTGTGTGGGTTTGGGGGTTTTTGGGTGTCATTGCTGTGATGCTCAGGTGCGTCCAATAGCCCGGAGGGAGCTGGCTGGACTTTGGATGAAGGTCAGACTCACACAAAGACCTTCTGACCCTTCACAAAATGTTACTGACTTCACTCCCCATCACAGGGTTTAAGCACCATCCAGTTTTTTTATGGAAGCTCTCCTTGTTTTGAAGCCAGCTGAGAGGCTTTGGACTGTTAATGAAATGGTTTTCAGCATTTTTACTGGCATTTCCACCTTCTTTCAAGCTGGACCATCATGGCTTGTCAGGAGTAACTAATCAAGGACATGACAACCCTGAGTGAAACCACCACAATGCAGACGTGGGGTTTTCCATTTCTGCGAACTTCCCTGGTGCAGTATGCAGAGAGCTGTGGGCACTCACAGTATTTCAGTTTGTATTTTGTTGTTTCGTCTGAAAACACGATGGGGGAAGAGTAGTAGGAGGAGGAAGAGTTGCCATAGGAACAGGAGCGATCGGGAGAGCTTTTTGTGTGCCGTTCTGCCATTCTGTGCTAAGGTCTTGATGCTGGAGAGTCAATAGAAGAGAAAAATCATGAAGTTTATTGGTAGCACAGAGCTCTTGTGTGAATTAGGCTTGAATGCAGAAATCTCCCTCCTCATCTAAAGATCTACCAGTTTTTGGAGGGTTTCTCCTCCTCCCAAGGCATCTTTGGTCCAAAAACCTGGGTGGGTTTGCGATGGGTGCAACACTGCAGAAACGCCTGAGCTGGGAGAAGGATGCTGCCACGTGCACCCCTGCAATTTGGAAAGGCCTCTGGTGTCCTCCCCACCGAGGGAGGTGGTGAGGAGAGAAAGGCTGAAGCCACAGAGAAGAGGGGCATTGTGCCTGGCTGCTTGCCTCATGCTGGAGCCAGACCAGCTGCTTCCCTCTGAAATCTGTTGCCCGAGTGCTACTCTTGGTGGCATTGCTTGCACAAGTGGGGCACACACTTGTTGACCCTCCCTGTGCCTCAGTTTCCCTCTTGCTCTGTGACTGTGCCCATGGTGGCTTGGCAGGAGCTGGGCACATGGGCGTGAGTGCTACAGCAGTAAGCCACAGGTTGGTAAGGCTGTAAGGTTGCTTGATGAAGAAGTTGGGATTAATTCATAGAACCATAAGATGGTTTGGGTTGGAAGGGACCTTTGAAGATCATCAATCCAACCCCCTGCCCTGGGCAGGGACACCTCCCACCAGACCAGGTCACTCACAGCCCCATCCAACCTGGCCTTGAACACTTCCAGGGATGGGGCAGCCACAGCTTCTCTGGGCAACCTCTGCCACTGCCTCACCACCCTCATCGTACAACATTTCTCCCTTATCTCCAATCTAAACCTACCCTCTTCCAATTTAAAACCACATCCCCTTGTCCTGTCAAGCCTGTTTTACCAGCCGCCCTGGCACAGGGTGGTGGCACATCCTGGGCTGTGATGTCTTCTTGCCCCAGCCAGGCGAAGGTCCCTTCTCAGCCAAATCGCAGTTCCTCCTCTCCTGTTACAGATATGGAGCAAAATCCCTTGCGAATCCCCCGAGCTCAATTTAGCTGGCGGAGTTATTTTGGGTTTTGCCTGTTTGCTAAGCAAACAAGGCGAGCGCAGTCACGCCGCCTGCTCACCTCTTCCCAACTCTTCCTTTCCAGTCATTTCAAATTGGGTGGCTCAGCATCTCGCCTCTTTTGACCGGATTTAACTGTGTCTGAGATAGGCATTTCTGTCTTTAAATAGAAAGCCTAATTGAGGAGGGAGAAAAATTAGTGCCTTGCCGGCAAAGTCCCCTGAGAGCTCAGCATATGCTGGTCCCTGGGGAAACCTGGTGAAGAGC